ACATTTGAAAACAAATAAAAGGTGGATTTCTATCCTAGTGGTACTTCCATTTTTGGATAAAGTCTCCTTTAAATAACTGCTCTGGACTCTCCCTGATGGTGCAAAGGTTAAAGTGCAGCTTCATAGCTGCTTCAATACACTTCAATCCCCGCCCAGGGAGGTGACCCACCCTCTCAGCAGTGTACTTAGTCTGCCTGTTCTGCTCCCCACTCTGTCTCTGGTGAATCCTCTCACCACCCCTGCACCTTTGACCTGTATCCCAGTTCTGTATGCATAAATAAATCTTTAAAAAAAAACATAAAAAAAAACATAACTGCAAAACAAAATGACATCGCAGACAGTAGCCTCTAGTACATACTCTATGGTTATTTAAATATATTAACTGTGGAAACATTCTTTCAATATTTCCATGTCTCTACTCAGCTCATTATCAGAAGTATCAATTTTGCCCAATATTCATGCCTTCTGCGAAACTAAATTGCATGCCAGTCTCCAGAGGTACCAGAGGTGAGAGATGAGCATGGATTTGGAAAATAGCTGCAGTGGCCTTAGGAGACTGGGGTACAAACAGGACACATGCAACTGGCCACCCCCCACTTCACAAAGTGGAGGACTCCCTAGAACCCAGAGGCCCAGCATGCCCATGGTTTGTTTTCCAAAATCAGATCCCCCGACTTACTGCACAAGGAAACTTTTATTGTTTGCAGATTTTGACTGAAGGTTGGGCAGGGTGTTAGAAGCCGAATTTGCTTTATTTCATTTTCAATGACAGTAATGAATTCAATGAAATAATGCTCCTAATAGTGAAAGAAGTAAGTTTCCACTTAAGCATAATTTCAGTTTACAAAATATACCCACTTCAAAAGACCCAAAATATTTTGCTGTATTATTTAGGATTACAAGTAGAGCAGGGGGAAAATAAAAACAAAACAAATAGAGCAGGGGAGGGTAAGTAACTAATCAAGGACAATAGTTTTGCAGGCAGGGGTGGTCTTAGTTTCACTAAAAGAATAACTGGCAAATTCTGTCTTGTTTGAATGCTATAGATGTCTCTTAAAAAGAATAGCTTTTTTTGGCCCTCCCTGGTGGCGCAGCGGGTTAAAGCACAGCACTGAGAATCTGAAGCCACTTCCGCATGAGTTCGATTCCCGCCTGCCCCGGAGGAGACCACATGGCGAGCCAGACCTCTCCTGACCCGCCCGCTGCTCCCCTCAGCAGTGTACTTCGTCAATCTGCCTGTTCTGCTCCCCACTCTGTCTCTGGTGAAGCCTCTCACCGTCCCTGAGCCTCTGGCCTGTACCCCAGTTCTGTATGAATAAATAAATAAATCTTAAAAAAAAAAAAAAAAAAAAAAAAAAGAATAGCTTTTTTTGGGCCCTCCCTGGTGGTGCAGTGGGTTAAAGCACAGTACTAAGAAGCTAAAGCCACTTCAGCATGAGTTCGATCCTAGACCCTGAGGTGACCACATGGCGAGGCAGACCTCTCCTGACCCGCCCGCTGCTCCCCCAAGCAGTGTACTTCATCAATGTTCCTGTTCTGCTCCCCACTCTGTTTTTGGTGAATCCTCTCACTGCCCCTGCACCTCTGGCCTGTACCCCATATGCATAAATGAATAAATCTTCAAAAAAAAAAAGTATAGCTTTCTTAGGTGCCTTTTGAAATGGATTAGTACATTAGAGTCTGAATTCAAATTCCAAATAATACTGACCAATAAACGTAGTTATGTCCTGCCTTAAGTGAGGTTATTTATTTTCTTAAGAATTGAGCCATAGTTTATCTGTTTCTACTTTGTCTAAACTCACTTAATGGGTAGTGACAAGGTCTTAGAGCAATAAGCCAGTTTGAGGTCACCTTTATCAATAGCTATCTTGTGTTTGGAGCCACAAGTACATTTCTCAGATCAGTAATGTTCAGTAGAAAATCAATGGAACCCTACATATGGTTTAAAATTTTCTAGTAGTCATATCTTAGAAAGGAAAAAAATTAATTTCATATTTTATGTAACTATAAAATAGTATTGTATTATTTCAGTGGAATCTAAATTATTAATGTGATATTTTGCATGCTCTTTTTCATTAAGTCTTTTTTTTTTTAATTTGCTGTGTGTTTTATATTTAGAGCGTCTCAATTATCACATCTCAGCAGCCTATAAGTGGCCAGAAGTGGCTCTGTTGGCCTGCAGTGTTAACATAATGGGCAAGAGGAAGGAGCTAGAGGGGAATTGCAGTAGCAAAAGAGGAGTTTGAGTTTGTGTTTTAAGCAGAGAAGTGCCATTTTTTAATTTTGAATTTATCGATCAGGTGGCCTCAGAAAAGAGTAGAAATTTAGGAGTGCAGGCAGCGTGCTAGAAAGCTGTTGCAGTGGTCTCGGTGTGGAATGAGAAGAACCCCAACTAAACTGCCATGAGGAATATGGACCAAAGGCAGTGTGTCAGAGAGATTAGGAATATTGGATTTGAAGGGAGGGAGAGGGAGTTATCTAGGATGGTTGTCAGTGAGGTTCTTATCTCAGGTGAGTGGGACTGTTGTAGAGTGTTCAGTGAAATGCTGGAAGAGCAGGCTGGAGTGGGAGATGAATTCAGCATGAGGTATGTTTGCTTTGAGGTGCAGGTGCATTGGAATAGGCAGGCAGGTGTTTACTTTGACATGGAAGAGTTTACTGAAGAGAATGTGTAGAAGCTAAAAAGGCTGAGTTGTAGGAACACTCAGTACTTCAGGCACCAAATGAAAACTAGGCAGTAACAAGGAGATGTAAGGCTGAGGTAATCAGGGCAGCTGCGAGAAATGGTGGGGTTTCAGCAGAGGCTTACGGAATGAGTAAGACGTAGCAAGTGTAAGAAGCACTAAAGGCAGCAGAAATGTGGAGAGGCGAGAACGTATCCGGTGTGTTTAAGGACACTGTAGACCTACCCTGCTGGGCCCGATAGGATTAGGATGGGATTTAGATGGGATTTGAGATGAAAGCTGGCCTAATGCAGTTTGTAGACATGTTTTATTTGGCATACATGGGGTAGAATCACAGAGTGTTTTAAATTCAAATTAGGTGCCTGCATTTCTACACAAAAATTCAGGTTTCTGATTTCTCTTTAAAATAAAAGGGTCTGGGAGTTAGATTTAGCAACACTGATGGCCCTATATGGTCATACTTAGCTAACGTGTTTCTCCTTTTTGCCAAACAAGTCTATTTTACTCTATGCTATTTGCCTGAGTACTATAGACATTTGAGTTTTCGATTTCTGATACAGGGGCCAGTGAATAATAAAGGAACAAGGATAAATTGGTGGCTCATTGTGGAGGTGTTGTAATATCAAACTAAGGAGCATAAAGGTAGATGGGGACAACTGATGAACAAGGAGTTACTGGGATTATAGGCATATTTGGGAGGATTATTCTGTCGATTTAAAAATACGGAAGTTAAGGAAAACTTATCAGTTTGAAAGGGAAAAAAGAGATGAGATGGTAATGGCATATCCAAATAGGCTTATAAGTACAAAATGGTTGTGGGGGTGGAGTGGGGAATGGGATCAAAAACGGGGTGGGGGGAGGGAAGTGCCCAGGACTATGGTGATGGCACATGGGTGACTTGGTGATGGGAAACCCACGGGGATTACAATTGAGATGAAAAAAAAAATGTACAAAATGATGTAGAAATAAACTGTTATATTATTAAAAAAAAAAAAAAGTACAAAATGGGACCCTCCCCTGTGGCGCAACAGGTTAGGACGCAGCCCTTCAAGCTGGCCGCAGCCACTTCAGTGTGAGTTTGATCCCCAGCCCTGGAGGTGACCCACAATTGCAGCAGACCTCTCCTGCTCACCTCAGCAGTGTACTTCGTCAATCTGCCTGTTCTGCTCCCCACTCTGTCTTTGGTGAATCTTCTCATCACCCCTGTGATGGCCTGTACCCCAGCTCTGTGTGCATAAATAAATAGATCTTTAAAAAAAAGTACAAAGTGGAATTCTCTTATGGAGATGTCACCCAGGAAGACTCTTTGTGCCACATAGAAACCATCTGGGCCAGTGACTTTCTGGGAAATTTGCTTACAGACTTCTAGAAGGCTTGGTAGTGGACAGTGAATCCAATTGTTTGAGACAACTGTTTGTGTTTATTGTAATATCTCAGTGATTTCAGAGAAAGCAATGGGAGTACAGACATGCCTTTTCTCTGTGTGAGCATCATGGGCGATCACGAGAATCTGCAAGTGCTAAGTAAGGGATGGCAACCTGTGAAACTTTGGGGCTTTAGGGTCAAAGCTATGTTAGTGAGACCCGGTATAACACATGCCATCACTCTGTCTTTTAAAACATTGTTGAGGGAGGTTGTTGAGTAATAGTCACTGTTCCATGTAGACTATGGATGGAAGAACTAGGTTTTGTTAAACAGAAAAAAGAAGGCTGTGGTCACAAGGTTGACAAGAAGTAGAACCATGACTTGAACCCATGTAGTCTCTCTAGAGATTTTTCTTTAACTTCTCTGAACTCTATTTGTTCTATTATCACACAAATAGACAAATTCACAGGGAGGAAACTATGCTTTTATCCTACACTCTCCACTCTAATTTATTTCAGGGATATAAGTGGTGTTCAGGGCCTCTTAAAAGAAATGAAACTCCAGAATTTATCCTTGAAACTGCCTTTCAGGGTTGAAGATGATGGGCTCGTCCTTGGGTGACCTTGGGGGAACAAGGTTGTATTGTGTATTCAAAGGTCTGTTCTCTTCCTTTAGCTTATGGTTCAGTGTTAACTCATAAAGTATGTGCTGGCAACCCTTTATGAAACATTTAAAAAGACCGCTGATTAAAATTCTTACTTTATGCAAACAAAATCGTTATCTTTTCTTCATATGTTCCCATAAAAGTTATCACTGATTTTGCACAATATTGAATTTGGAAAGGGGTGAGAATATAGAACCTTCTAGAGAAACAATGGCATTTGTCCAGCACCTTCAAACTTGTCAAGCTTTGTACCATATTTAGTGTGTCTGTGTCTCTTTGGTCGACAGATGAAATATGTGAATGAAAGATTTCAAGATGAAAAAAATAAAGAGGTGCTTCTCATGTGCATTGGCATCACCTCGGGAGTTGGACGTCTGCTCTTTGGCCGGATTGCAGACTACGTGCCTGATGTGAAGAAGGTTTATCTACAGGTACTTTCTTAAGCCTTCTTTCCCCCCAGCAAAATTACCCTTATCATCTAACATCTCATTATAGGTATGTATGTGTTTAAATTCTGGAAAAAAGTGTTTTCCAGAATTGGTGTCAGTAGTTTTTCAAGGGCAAAATCAGTTCTGTTTTGGGTTTTCAACATGAGAAACTGGCAATCAAACAACAATCTTCTTTGTTTGGCCCCGGCACTCCACCAAACCAAAATACTTCTTGCTCTTGCTTTTTCTAAGAAGAATGTTTTATTTTTGGCATAGTTCTCATAGTCATGTGCCTTTTGCAATATCTTGTGAAATTCAGAGGGGTGTGTATATGTGTCTTTTGGGCTTCTTTATTACAGATTGCCTCTAGGGTGTTATGGGATGTGCACCAAACAAATGCTAATTCCAGGATCACGTTGACACTCATTTGACAAGTATTTAAGTGACTCCCTCGTGCCAGACATTGTGCTAAATGCTGCAGTTGAAACGTGGCCTGTGCCCTCAGTTAGTAGCTAATGGTCTCATGGGGAGACAGGCAAAACAGTGCTGCAGCACGGTGGAATAATGGGAATGCCAGAGGGGTGCCATGGAAACTGGGCTGAGCTTCTGAATCACTAGTGAGAGGCTGAGTGAGCTTCCTGGGGGGGGGGGTGTTTAAGAGGTGTGTAGCAGTTAGATAAGACAGAAGAGAGTGTTCCAAGCAGATGAAACCACCTGGACAAATGATGGATGCAGTGTGTTATATCTGGGAGACTAAATGTTTGAACAGACTAGAGAGAGAATGGTAGCCTGATTGGCTAGGACATAGGCAGGAGCCAGGTTGTGAAGGGCTCGTACGAACACAAAAGAGAAGGAATTCTATTTTGAAATCTGTGATTTTAAGTGAGGGAGCGACATGACATGAATTGTATTTTTACTAGCGTTTAATCTCGTAATTGTGAAGGATGAGATAGAGTAAAGGAAGGAGGCAAGAGTTGAGGTAATCATAAAAAGTCACATTTATATGAAATATCCAAAAATATGCAGGAAGCAGATTACTGGCTGCCAGGTGATGGGGGTGGGGGGTGGGGGGAATGTGGCGTGGCCTCTATTAAGTATGGGGTTTCCTTCTGGGTGATAGATTCTAAAATTAGAAGTAATGACTGTACAACTTTGTTAATGAACTAAAACCTACTGAACGATGTATTTTATTTTATTTATTTTTTAAAGATTTAGTTATTTATGCATACAGAACACAAGTACAGACCAGAGGTGCAGGGTGAGAGGATTCACCAAAGACAGAGTGGGTTGCAGAACAGGCAGATGGACCAAAATACTCAGCTGAGGGGAGCAGCAGGCGGGTCAGGAGAGGCCTGCATGCCATGTGAGTCAGCTCTCTGGCAGGGGATTGAACTCATGCTGCAGTGGCTGTAGATCGATAAATTTTATGGTACATGAATTTTATCCCAATAAAGTTGTGGGGTTTTGTTTGTTTAAGAGTGGAGGCGGTGGCCCTCCCTGGTGCCGCAGTAAGTTAAAGCACAGCACTAAGAAGCTAAAGCCACTTCTGCATGAGTTCGATCCCCGCCTGCAGCGAGGAGATCCACATGGGGAGGCAGACCTCTCCTGACCCGCCCGCTGCTCCCCTCAGCAGTGTACTTCGTCTAGCTGCCTGTTCTGCTCCCCTCTCTGTCTCTGGTGAATTCTCTCACCCTACACATCTCTGGCCTGTACCCCGGCTCCATATGAATAGATAAATAAATCTTTATTAAAAAAAATAAAAGATATAAAAAGAGTGGAGGCGGAGGGCTTAGAGATGAAGTAGTGTAGGCATAAAGCACCAAAGTAGAGATACTGGGACCAACCAGGGTATAAAATGGGGGACAGGGGCCCTCCCTGGTGGCGCAGCTGGTTGAAGCACAGCACTGCAGGCCATCTGCGGCCACTTCAGTGCGAATTTGATCCCCGGCCAGGGAGGTGACCCACATGGCACGGCAGACCTCTCCTGACCCACCCGCTGCTCCCCTCAGCAGTGTACTGTGTCTCTATCTGCCTGTTCTGCTCCCTACTCTGTCTCTGGTGGATCCTATCACCACCCCTACACCTCTGGCCTGTACCCCAGTTCTGTATGCATAGATAAATAAATCTTACAAGAATAATAATACATAAAACAACATTCATAAAATGTTTTGCCAGCAGTAAATAGCATTTATAAAAAAAAAGGGGGGGTCAAGGGACAGTGGTCCAATGGGACCGGCCCTGGCTGAGTCTCAGATTTGTGGCTCATGTAAGAAAGTGCATCATTGTACTGTTTTATCCATATTAGGGGTTCAGTAAATCATAGTACACCTTTGCCATGTTACGTTTGTGGTGCTTGTGGGAAAACCAGGTTGAGTATGGAACTCATGAGAGACTGGATTAGAGACTTTATTTTAGCATTTCTGGGCTATAATAGGGTGAGTGGAAGACTCCATTATGCAAGAGAGATTGAGAGGGAGTGGCCAGTGGGTGGGGGAAAAGCGCCCCAAGGAAAAGTACTCAGCAGTGTTTATCGCTAATGTGACCTAGGCATGTTAAAAACTAAAAGGTTTTCATTAGTAAGAGAGAGACCATTAGTGACCTGACAAAAAGTAGTTTTAGTGGAGTGGCAAGTGCAAGAGACTGAACGTGACCACTAGTAAATGGAAATACAGACAGATTGGTCCAAAAGCTTGACTGTGGCAGAAAGGTGAGGAGAGCCAAGGAGGGGAGGACTGGGGGAGGGATCCCGAGCAGTCTGCCCACTGTGTAGGCGAGGGGCGGGCCATATTTGAGTAGGGCCTTGACGGAGAGCTCAGGGATTTAGAATTGGGGCAAGGAAGTTGGAAAAGGCATTTATTACAGATAAAGTAACTACCATGAATTGAGTTGAACTAATACCCACCATTTGTTGGGTGCATCCACAGGCCAGCCTGTGACCTCACCCTAACACACAACACACATCATATCCTTTACTCTTCCTCCAGCCCTCTGAAGAAAAGTACAGTTACTTTTTTCAATTATAAATGTGAACACTGAGAAACAGAAGGGTGCCTTGCTGAGGAGATCCGTGTGTTCAAAGGCCCAGGCAGCCATTCACAGGAAGGAGTCCGGTCACACAACTATTGCCGGCAGCTGATAGAATGCACTTTTTAAAGTACTTAATGTCTTATGATCACTCACTCTTTCCTTAGTCCCTCTCTGTACATTTTCTTGTCGATCGGTTAGTGAAATATTTGGTTTGTTTCTCAAGTGTCAAGGGAGCCCTCTAATGGATATTTGCTGCATGACCAACATCCCGCTTTTCTTTCGTTCAAAAATTTGAGTCAGCCCAGACTCTGGCACTTTGAGGCAAACAAGGCATAGTCCCAACATTTCTGGAGCAAGATTTGAGACAGGAGAGATGGGCATGTTTGGGAAATTAAGTAGACAAGGAAGAGTGGTCAGGGGTTGGAATGCTATGAGGGGCCCGATTATCCATGGTCTTGAAATCCTAGATGAAGAGCTTTTACTTCAGATATTGTGAGTCTTTTTTTTTTTTTTTTTAAAGATTTATTTGTGCGTACAGAACTGGGATTCAGGCTCAGGGGCAGTGAGAGGCTTCACCAGAGACAGAGTGGGGAGCAGAGCAGGCAGATCTACGAAGTACTTTGCTGAGGGGAGCAGCGGGCGGGTCAGGAGAGGTCTGCCAGGCCATGTGGTCACCTCTGGGTCTGGGATCGAGCTCATGCAGAAGTGGCCTTAGCTTCTCCGTGCTGTGCTTTAACCCGCTGCGCACCAGGGAGAGCCCTCTAGTGGGTCTTTTGACTTAGTGTTGGGGAATAGAAAGGTCGATTTTTACATTAGTTGGTCACTGTGGTTACTCTGTGTGTGGGAGGGTGTTACCAGGAGGGAAGCAAGAGTGCAAGGGGAGGGGAAGGAGTGCAAAGTGAGGAGACCAGCAGGGACAGGCGCCCAAGTGAGAGATGCGGCTGGGCTGGGGTGTGTGTACAATGGATGAATGTTGAGCGTGTGCTACATGTTATACATTGATGGTTGACTTTGAAGTCATTTGCCACACATGGGGTGGGGGTACATTTTAGTATGTGAGCTTTTCATGTAATTTACAAAAAAAAAATACAGCTTTTTCTAACCTATCTTATGTTTGGTCTATAGTTATACAGCAGTGAGTTAAAAGTCAGTCATTTTGGGCCCTCCCTGGTGGCACAGCGGGTTAAAGCACTGCACTGAGAAACTAAAGCCACCTCCG